CCGACCGAAGAAATCTAATTTTTTAAAAATCGACGAACTTACGAAGAAACATTATCCCTTGGGGTTAGAAGTAATTGTACTTTGATTGAAAATATATAAAACATGTCGAAAGAAAGGATGCATTTTCTCTCAGGGATTTTCGAATTGCAAGCATTGTCGGCAGTTTTCTTGATAGATTAAAGATTAAGATCGATCGTGTTCTAAGTATCCTAGCGTGAGAACTAATTACAATATAAATGTTTCTCTGTTAGATAACGAGTGCAATAACCAGAATGATGAGAACACACCAAATCCAATATTTGTAATTTTCGATCGACTATTGGATTCGACCAAGTGGAAGGTAAGAGAGGCATAGAAAATAGTTTTCGAGGAATGAAGTACGAACGTATACAGTGTGTCACAACACTTTCTGATAGTGATAGAAATTCGTTTCGTGTATGGCCTTATTTTTTTCTTTTTTTCATAATTATGTACGATAGAGTACATGTCATCAATTTCAATAATCTTGATGTAAACTCGACAGTCACTAAATTCTCTTTTTTTAATCTCTTGTAATTTCTTAGCTATGGATCAATTTAAAGGTGTAGTTTATGTTTTACACGATTAAACAGAATTTTCTGGAATATTTTTTTAGATGAGCACTTTCAGCTCTAACTGAAACACGTTACAGAAACGTGGAGATTTTTGGGAGGTTATAAAATCGTTCAAAAGAAAATATACATAAAATTTGTATCGATACGAGAATTATTAATAGATCGACTTAAGTCTAGACCAAACATGCAATGACTTCATCTGAAAGCCAACTTGAATAGAAATAAATATTTAAGCATTCTGAACACAAATAACGATTGATGGTGGTTCTTAAAAATAGTGGTTTTTACTTCCCCAATTCTGCTAGAGCCAAACACTGTTCTGAATACATATGTACTATTCAAAATACATATATACTATCGTTTCACATGATAATGCTACCTCTTAACCTTGCAATGTTTCAATTTAATATCTTTTTCACCAGTTGCTTGGCTATTGATTGACATTTTGAACACTGTACATTTACCGAATTAACACTTTTGTTGTAGCATACACCTACTGGTCAATTTTAGATTCAAGAATATACTCAAACATATTAATAATATTTTAAATATATTGCTTCAGAATGCTTGTGGTCACATATGTGTTAGACATTGTAACGTTTCTGAAAAGTGCTTAATTGAAGAAAAACCAGGGCATAATGCTGACCATAGTTAAATTTTTGTTTCATTATATCTTTAATACTCAGGTAATTGACTTTTTTGTATAGTGTTAGAAATATGTTACATTTTGAAAGATAATAATGTATTATAAAATGTAATGCGAATTGCAATAGCGATTTTCAAAAGATACTGTATATGATAAACCTACTTTCGTGTAGATATGTCTTTTAACTGTAATTCAATAAAAATCATATGGACACATAAAATTGTTCAAGATTAGAACGTATGTCGAGATCATTGAAATTGATGAAGTGTATCCTATTTCGCATAATAGACTTTTTTCCTACTATACATACTGTACATAGGGTACCATCGTATTCAAGCATTCTCGGTAATTCATTTTGTTTTTGTTTTCCTCTCATATTTGTAGGGTCGGTTCCGTTTAGTTATTTCTCCGTTTTAACCTTCAAATGCTAAATCCCATTGTCACTTAGTATAAACAGTTGTTAAAATGTGATGAGTATCGATTTCTCAAAATAACGTAATACGTTATAACATTACCTTAAATCGCTATTACACTCTCTGATTTTGAACAGGTATATACCATTTTGTTTTTTTGTATATTATGTATATCTATATTTATGTGTTGTATAAATTATCGCAATTATGTAGAATTTTTTCAAAATTTATGTATCTTTCATTTTTGTTAATATTTTAATAACATAAATTAATATTAATGTTAATTAACATAATATTAATTTCATTATAATAATATTCTTCAAATTTGTCACTCACATTTCAGTGATACTTTACATCGATAATTGACTATTGATCAAATTATTGCGTTAAAAAAATATTCATTTGTTCAAGCACATACGTTCAGTATGACTGTTACGCACGATAATATTAAAAAAATATTCTAACTATACAGAATTAAATATTTCTAAAAGTATCAAGTGTGGAAGCGGCTTAATGCATTACAACGTATTACGTTGTTTCAAGGGTCCGTCCCGATGGCCATTGCTATAATAAACGAATAAAACATTTCTCTACTATATTACTACATGCTTATTGTCAATGAGTAACCAAAATAACGAAGTAAATAAACACTGTAATCCTAAAGCCGGCTACACGACTACAGTTTAAACTCTGCCTCTCTAGTTGACTTAATCCAACATTAACTGATGCGAATTTAACTTTGTTAGTTAGCATTTCAAGGTTATGAACAACACCAGAATGACAGAAATATTCTGTTAGAAAGGCCAGCACAAATTTGGCATAACATATACTGTATACATCTAGATACCTTTTTTAACACCTCCGATCACACAGGGCACGCAACACTCTTACGTTTAATATATACACACCATACAAAGCATCACAAGATTACATACATTAATTTTATACATTTTCTCAATAATAAAATATCCGATTCTCTATTATGCTACTTCACACGGAGAATGATCAGCTCCACGCGAGACGTACATCCCGCGCATCCAGCAATCAGCAACGACATTGATACATAACACACACGGTACATCAACTTGTTCGCAATTACTTCGGAGAACATAGAGAATCCTCGCGAATCGTTCATTTTGTTCGAGGCCAAACTTTCTTTGTCCGATTAACCTTCTCGTGAAACTAAAATTCTGACGAACAAAGACTCGGCCCAATTTAACCCGTCCAATTTCTCTAATGATGATATGCTACTTATACTTAATCGATCGTTTGCACAATCATTTCGGGCATTTCTTGTAATAACTTGATTAATACTAACGCAATTTATCCACGTCCTTTCGTTTTATTTACAGCAAATCACACCATACGTGTCACAGGAGCAGCCAGCTTTCTTCACTTTTACAGATTCGTGTATCGAAAATTTGTAATAGTTTATGAAAATTGTTATACCACGGCTAAATAATTAAGAAATAAATGTTATGATCATATAATCGTATCAACGTTTTGTTTTTGCATGCGTTTATGCGTGATGAATGTTAAATGAACGGAAACCTTGAGTGTTCTACTGCAGGTGGAAATATTAGGTATGTAAATTACTTGGAGACGCCATTTACGATCACAAAGCATCATGTGATTTAGAAAAGGACATTATAGCTCTATAGAGTGATTCAAAACAAGAGTAACGGTATACCTCATTAGTACTTAATTACTCTATCAATATCTAACTTTAAACTTAAATTCATATAATGTTAATATAAATGTAAGTCCAACTCAAATGCAAAATTCATCATGTAATTCCTAAAGTACGACAGACTCTTCTCTATTATACTTTAACAGTTATGTACAAACAATGGAAGTATCCATTTTGGTTTGAGATTAAATTACATATTTTTGAATACTAATTGATAATGAATAAGGCACATCGTTATTCTTGCCTCGGATCACATACGCACAATCAACCTTGAAGATAAAGATGTTGCAATACGGTAATATACACTAGACAATATAGTAATACAATTACAGTCATAATCAAATTATTACTATTAATTCACAGATACCCCACTATGTAGATATTGCCCCAAAGTAATATCTATGTCTAATTATTATCAGTGATTATCAACGCAAAAAAGGATATTTTATTATTATATCAGAAGAGTGAAGTAAAATAATGAAGTTTAGTTTCAAGTTAATATAAACCTCAAAATTGTGTCACTCACGTTGGTAAATAAAAGTTTGCAGTGTTCCTTTGTTAGCTGTACGTTTATCACCTCCACAATCAGTTGTGCCTACAACAATTACTAATAAAATGCATACTAGTCATTACTGCTCTTTAAAATTCAGTTAAAGAGAGAAAACAGTATTGTAGCCAAAGAATTCTTCATTTCTGAAGTGATTCTAAAATCCTCTGAAAGTATATTTTAATACGACTGATCTGGATCTTTGAGAAGATTGCTTTTACAAGATTTATCTAATGATCTGAAGATTTATAAAACGGAAAACCAATTTACTTACAGGAAAAACTCAAGAAGTTGTAAACCTATATTTAAAATAAACAAAGAAGATTAAAACATGGTTAAGTATTAATTTGCTAAATTATAATACTTAATGAAGTTGAAATTTCATGAAAGTAACGAATTAATTTGCTGTGTAATATGAAGGTAGCTGCTCCTTTTATACAGCATACGGCTGTGAAATGTAAAGTGTATAAGTGTATAGTAATTTTCGACAAATTTATAGCAAGCTCACTGCACTCTGTTGAATTACTGTACTGGATGGATCAGGAATGGGGTTTGGGTATCACGTGGAGGTGACTACACTGTCACTTCTTGTAATAAATTACAGCGCATCTGGGAGACTAAAGTATCAACGTTAATAGGCGTAGGTCGTTAGCCCTATTTTTCGGAAAATACCGGGTTACCGACTACCCTAGGAACAACGTTGCCTCTTTCGTCGCTATAGTTTCTTTTTTTTTCTCTTTTTTTATACATAGTAAAATCCAATCTATACGCGCCGCGTGTATAATAAATAAATACTTTCGAAAGTGCGTATAAATCGGTGTATAATGTGTTACATACAAACAATTCGGCTCTGTTACAATTTCGTCAAAAGATTCTTTTCAACAGGCATTGTGAGACATTTTTTCTTTGTTGTTCGCTCAGGTGAAAATAATCTTTTGACTCGTGTGATGGACATGGGTCTTTTTTGATCTGCGAATTATATCTCGAATGGTGAACAAATTCGGTTGCTTGGTGAATTAGTAACGAAGATATCGATGACAAATATCGATGACGACCATAAAAATAATCAGCACTGTCACAGAATGAATGAATGAGAACTTCGCATCGTTCTTGTCCCATTCCTGACGAGCAAAAGGTTAACTCGTGTTATCGTTTAAATAATCTGCAAGCCATCGATCGACGACATCTGCATTCTCTTTCACCCAATGTATATTAAACTTGATTGTTTCTAGGCTCTGTTCTAATGCTTGTCGGCCACTTCCGACATCCACCTTCTTAAAGAATTCTGATACCTAAAACAAAACATTCAATATATCATATTATTATATCATACACAATGTTCTATATGTTGTCATGAAGGCTTTAGTTTTTTTTTTAAATATAGCTTCAATGGAAGTATGTAAAAATGTATTTTCTATGAAGTTTTCAAAAGCAAATTGCAAAATCGGTTTTTGTAGCAGCGACTATCATTATATGAAGATTAATTTAAAAAAGAAAGCATGCGAAAAACATTGCTTCTTTATCTGAAATTCTTCTAAATGCTAACATGTTTAGTGTCTTTGTTTTATCTATACAGAACTACATGATAAATAGGATTGTTGGAGTTTCTCATTCTTGCCGCAAGAGGTCCGCAAAACCAAGTTAGTTTGTCAGTAAAATATTTTTTATTACGGTTAAGTATAGTAAATTAAATAATTGCATGGAATATTCATTATCTGACTGAGCCTTTAATATATGTATATGGAAATTTATTTTTAGAAATTTCAAAATATTTCATTATTTTTTATTTTAAAGTTCCCAGATTTTCAGATTTCTAAATCTTCCGATTTTTACATTATAAAAGTTTCAAATTTTTTAAATTGTATATTAAAGATATCCAGATGTGTTAACTTTCAAACTTCTAAATTACTAACCTACAAATTTTCAGACTTTAGGTGATCCAAATTTTCTAAATTCTAAATTATTACATTTTTATATTACCAATTTCCAAATTTAGAAATTCAGAAATTCAGAAATTCAGAAATTTAGAAGTAGGGAAATTTCATATTTTATAAACTTCATATTTTTTGAAGTATTTTTGAATTATCGGTAATCATACCAATTACTGGTGATGTGCAAGCATTCGTATGTAAGATATTTCGGAAAACGTAGTACATACTGTAGAAAACGACGGTAATATTATTTTCCGTAAAAATTATTATATATACCTATCTGACTGTCCATATATGTGGAACAGCAACCAGAAATTGGTAAAAAACGAAGTTTACAAAATAAACGCAAGACAGGAAATAATTGTTGGGAATATAAATAGGTTTGCTTTTACAAAAGGACGCAAAAACGACTCCAGAGGAGTATATGCCTTTTGCAACGCGGAAAGTGCATTAAAAATTGAAAAATGTATTGAAGTTGAAAACTGCATTGAAGTTAATGGTGCAATGTTAGAACAGTTATTTTGAACTCTTGTTAATTAGCCTTGTGTTTTACATTATTTCAGTTTTTTACACTATTATTGTTTTCCATTTTGTAGGATTTTTTAACCAGTTAACTGCGTTAAACTATTTTTTAAAACTTTATCTCTGTGCGATCAACGTGCTCATGTAAAATAAAAAATTATTTTACTATAAAAATTTTTTTCTTAAAATTTGTAATAGGGTCATTTACCTTACGACCAATGCGTATAGTCACTGCTTGATTTTAATTACTCATTCCGTATAGGATTTTTAAAATTAAATTTTACAGATAATTCGAACGTTTATATTTCCACGTATGTTGATTATCAGATATACACATGTTTGCATGTGAACTTTCATTTGAAATTATCATTTCTTACATATTGACTATTCCTGCTACAGACTGAGATATCAGTCCGTTATTTCATACTAAACGAAACAATATAAGTGCTTTCGATTACTGACCTCGTAATAATCATATTCCGTAAAGAAATTAGACACTACGACAGATATCAGTCCTCCCACTGTGAGCGATCCATTTCCAAATAAAGCATGTATCTGTGGCCAGTATGCTTTAAGATGACGCCACGCAAGGAATTGACCCTCAGAATTGGAAGCGACAGAGGCTATAACAGTCTCAACGTCTTGTGACCTCACCATGTCTCGATCCAATGAACGTAAAAGGTAACGTTGTAGTAACCAATGATCTGTCGTCGTTCCTAGGGCTTGCAACATTATTCCTTTTTCACTGGGTACTTGAGTTTTTTGATAATTTTGCCAACAATGATTCCATTCCTTTTCACCGCCAAATTTTATCCCTGCACATGTACACACATTGATCATGATACATTTCGATTTCGACTATAAAACAGATTTATTTTAGATCACAGATTTAAAACAGATTTAGTTAACTTCTGTCGGATATGGGTGTAGTCAAGTTGTCAGTTACAGGGGGAAAAATTAATTTTAAAGAAATGTTTATTATATTTTTTTAAGGATAAGTATTAATTTCAATATTTTTATTCGTGGAGGTAACATGTAATTTGCTCCAATTAGGGCAAGGACAGTGGAGGAATAAGCGGCCCTCCCTAGAGATACACCTGCTTGTACCTATATGTATTGAAAGATTATATTACCTGCAACGTATACGACATCTCGTATATTTGGTGCAATTCGCTTGCCTCTTAACATCCAATCTTCGAAAAGAGTTTTTGCTGGTTTTACTACGTCATCCAATTTTATGGACACAGCTGATTGAAGTACTGCAATTCTTAATAATCTGTAAGAGCAAGGGTGCAATACAAAATTTAATGCTATTATATAGTACAATGTTTATAAATTTATTAGAAATTTGATATATCGTATTATTTTCAATTTCTGTTAGAAAGTGAAAAATTAGCAAAAAATTTGAAAACTGATTTAGAGGGACTAATATTTAATAGTTGATATTTGATATAAATATCTTTATACGTTAATGAAAACATAATTATTATTTATTTATCAAATATACGTTATTATTAATTAATCGTTCGAATCGTTTAATAGTTTAAAGTAATTTATTAAAAATAGTCATCTTGTACTAACATACGCAAAATTTTTCATAAAATAACGATAATTCAAAGTTAATCCCTTTAAATATTTAAGTACGTCAGCTTTTAAGCGTAACATTGAATATTTCCCAAAAATTATTAATAAAAATCAATAATGGGTCTAATGTCTCCATTGACAAGAACGATACTTTATAATTATATAAATAAAAATTAATGAGTTTCTGTCACCATGTTATTAATTACATGTTCTTCGTTAATTTTAACAAATTACTATACAGATCCAAACATTTCTCTTTTAGCATCATTAAAATTAATGGCGCTACAAATACATGTGTATTATCAAGAAATTATTAATAAAAATTACATTTGGCTCGATCTCTCCTTTATGTATAATGACATAAATGGAAATAAATGAGTTACTGCTACTACATTATTAATTACATGTTCTTTGCTCATTTTAAGAAATAATTTTATAAAATCATATATTTCTTTTTACAAAATTGATATCTTACTAATTAACTTATAAAAACTTATGAAAACCTATGAATGAAAACTTAAAAATTAGGTGATTTTTTAAAATTTTTAACTATACTTGCTAATAAATATTTTAACAGCAGAATAGTCTTTAAAATAACAAATAAAATAGTTACAACTATAATGTTATAAAGTTTGTACTAATATATCATTTTAAACCGTAGTTGCTAATATGGACGTGATCGCTAATATTTATATTAATACTACAAAAAACAAAATATTGTAACTACGGAAGGGCCAGATTATTTTGTTCGAAGTTTTAAAATAATTTGTTGAGTATATATCCTAAAGTTAAATATATTATCACATTATTTGAGCATGTTTATACTCACTTTTTTAAGTGAGGTCCTTCGTCTGCCCAACCAACATATTTCGTCACGGGTGTTAACAGTTTTTTCAAAAATGTAATGTATTTTTTATATCCAGGGCTTTCATTTAATCTTCCCTTCCAAGAGTGTAAGTATCCAAGCGCTGTTGCCCATGGTACATAGTCTCTTTCGACTAAAAGATACAAAGATAATTTGAGTGGTATCGTGGCGTTTAATTCACCAGCTTCGCAAAGAGTAAACGCATCGTCAATAAGATTAGCACGATCAGCTGGGCTAAATTTGGTATGGTCGTTTAATAAAGTAGAAATGATCGACATCCACATTTCCTCCGGATAAGTCACACGATAAAATCCACTCTGATTCACGTTACATTTTATGTATTCGACGTCGCTGGGTATTTCAAAGGTTACTGAAAAATAGATAATATTTGGTTCATATATAACGTAAATAAAATTTCCGTATTGATTAGGCAATAAACTCATTCGTCTTATAAAATATTTTTATATGAACTTTATCATAACTTTGTGTTAACAATTGTTTGAACAATTTCCTATCAAACATTAATCTAGTTTATTTTTAAATATAAATTACAGGAGAATTCAATCATTCCTTTATATTATATTACGCGAATTGGTGTAAGGGAGCAACATTAATGAAACGAATGAGATTATTGCATAGTAGTAATCATGCTAAATTATATCAACGATTAATCGCTTAACGTTAACAAAGAATACTACAAGAAAATTTTCGTTATAACTGTCCTATGTGTTACCATCAGTTAAATTCATCCATACGTTGTGAAGCTTGCGCGGTTCTTTGTCTGTGAAGTAGCTCAACGGGACGTACCACTTGTAGTCATACGGTGATTTTGGTTGTGATAATTCAGTATCATTTTCTTTTGGAGAAATCAGAAATCTCTTCTGGGTTGCCGTGATAGTGTTCTTATCACGAGTAATTGTGATCAATGGGAAACCCATCTGTTGGGTCCATGTGTCCATAATAGCCTATCAACATATTTCATTTGAAAAATTATTAGATTTTGTATATTACTTATATATTAATACAAAAAACTATCAATTTTCTGTTCCGTCAGTTTTTCTCACTTTTTCTCCTTCCGCACACGGTCTTTTTTTGTTTTGGTATATAGTTTTAAAACAAAAATTGGACGTTCATTTCAATAGCTTACACCGTGTATTTTGCTGAACATAATTTTTGTCCGACTTTTGTATTGTTGCAAAACCGTTTCTGGATAATAGTTTCCTTAATTTGGTAGAAACAATGTTTTATTTATTCACATTTATCATTTATTTACTTATTACTGTCATTACCATGTACTTCAATTTTTTTAACAAAATTATGTAAAAATAATCATGTTTGAACATTTATTAGCTTGTAGAAAAAAAACGCATTTTATTGTTGATGATTGTTTTTAAACATTTTTAATTTTATTATATATGTGTCATAATACCATTGTGATGAAAATATGAGGAACCACTATGTATGATTCAAATCTACGTGAAACGTGATTATAAAATCAGAATTGCTATAATTCTAATAATATTTTAGTAAAATGGGTATAACTTCATTATAGTTAAAAACTATATTTGGTAATCAATAAAATTGAATGAAAAGTGGAAAAATATAATTTTTAAAAAGTTATGGGAAATCAGTAGCTCACTCAATTCGATTACGATGTTCCATTTATTTCTGTTCCGCATTTAATTTATTAAACTCAAATTGAAAAATAACATTTTTGCATTCAATTTTTACTGTATTTTATATTTTTTAATATTTATATTTTTACTCATTAAAATATAAAAAATGTAATTAATCATTTAAAAAAAAGGATTCAAGCTAATTGTGATCCAGATCTTTGGAATTTGTAATACCACTACGATTTCATTGTTACATGCTCAAATTTTTAAACAAATATCCTATATTACACAAAGAACCAATATAAAATATAAAAAGTGATTGCGACGTTAAAATTAAATTTAAATTCTGAAATATATGGTGAAATAAATAAAAGTATTTCCATTATAATTATATTAAAGGAGTGACATATTATTGCAAATGATAATATAATATAATGTAATATATAACAAATTAAATCAAATGTGATTACAAAATAACAGAGTATTATTTGAATGGTCTGTGTATTAGGTTATCAAACACTAAGTTGCACCATTGAAGGTTTAACTGCTTTTTAATATGTCTTTATCGCTTGTGTATTAATACTAATCCACTGATAAAAATTATTCTTTAATGTTATTTATCTGATATTTTGATAGTAGCAGTTCGATATCATTCACAAGATATGAATATCTAAAATCATATCTTATGATAAATTATATTTATCTTATTGATACGTACTTTCACGTCAAATGTGTTATTAGCATGTTTCGTGAAGACTGCCCAAAGGTCGTTCGTGTCTGCATTTCCGTACGAGTGGGAATTCAAGTAATCATTTAATCCGCTTTTAAGAACATCCTCACACAGAAAGCCCTCGAGCATGTTGAGAATGGAAGCACCCTTATTGTAACTGATATCATCGAATATAGCTTGTATCTCGTTGGGGTCTTTAACTGGCACGCTTACAGGATGACTGCTAGCTAAGGCATCGAGATCGAGTGCCGGTTGTGTTTTGTCTAAAATAAACTGATCCATCATACTCCATTCAGGCGAAATGTGATTCACTCCTTTATATTCGAAAAAACTGGCTGCCCCTTCATTTAACCATAAATCGTTCCACCATTTCATGGTGACAAGATTGCCGAACCATTGGTGGGCTAATTCGTGGGCCACAACCACAGCTACCCATTCATGAGCCTTAGTCGATGTTTCTTGCGGGTCGTAAAGTATAGACGTTTCCCGGTATGTTATTAGGCCCCAGTTCTCCATTGCTCCGGCAGCAAAATCAGGTATAGCTATCAAATCTGACAAAAAAATTAATACATGATTATTAATATTAACTCAATGATTAATTTAATAGTATAGTTATGCTTAGAGTCGAATTATATGGAATGTGTGGATTATCTACACTTGAGATTGTGTATCAAATATTTAAGGATTTCAATTTGCAAGTATTTTAATTTACAAATTTTCAAGACAATGAATTCATAAATTTGTAAGTTTGATAACATTACTGTGCTACATTTTTAAATTTCTAAATTTTAAATTAATAAATTCACAAACTGCTATATTTGAAATTGAAAGATATTTCAATTATTAAATTCTTGTATTTGCGCGATTTAAAATTTGTAATTTTCTATATTTCCTGATTATTTAATCTTCAAATTCTCAAATCCTTTATTTACCTAATCCTCAAATTTTCAAACTTATAATTTTTCTAATTGCCTAATAGTTAAACTATCAAATTTCCAAGCACTGAAATTTAACAATCTCTAAATGTCTACATCCCCAAAATCTAGAACATCAAAATCCCTTAATTCTCAACTCTTAAAATTCTAAAACTCCCGATCCTCAATTTCTAAAATTTTGTCGATGTTAGTTAACCAAAGTGAATGAGTTAATAATTAATATCAGTTTATACATGTACTTTCTGTAATATTAATATATCGTAATTAACGTTACACATAAGTTTATATTTTTTATTTGTTTATAACACGTACTAAGATGAAATATTTTACGCGTTATTAAGTAATATTATGGTATATAATATTAATTTATATCGGGAAAGGCTAGTCCAAAAATAAGTATCTCTAACTATAATAGCTACGTGTCCATATATTTCCCAGAAATGAATGACTATGTTCAAAACTTGTATATGTATTAAATTGGTTCAAAAGTTTTATCGTTTTTTGAAGAAACTTTCTAATTACAGATCTAACAAATGTAACTACAATCTTATTTTATAACATGTTAATTATTATTTTAATGTATGAAGAAAGTTATTACTAATCAAGATTCTTCATTTAATCATTACTGACTATTTATAATTATGTTCTTTTAGAACTTGAATTATTATTCATAAAAATATTCTCAACACAAAATTTCTCAAACGGATATTGGCACATGCAATCAGATTACAATCTTATTGTTTCCAAGTCTAAACAACATTCATACTTTTATGAAAATGCGATATAACATTCCAAATTTATGTGTTTCATTTTTAATCATTAGTAACAGATAAAAACTCCATACATTTATTGAAGAAAAAGAAAGTTGACACATATTTACTTTGCCATTTATTAAAATACCATAAAACGTAAATTTCAAGGCTATATATTTGTTGAAACAGAAAGTACAGATACATGAGTTAAATAAATAGTGTCTACTGATATAACTTTTTGTGCAACTTAATACATTGTACAGAAATATTCGTAACAACGTAATCTGCCAATTTGTATAAATTCACTAAAATGGGACTTATAAACAACATTTTTGTGGGTACGAGTAAACGAAATTCTTCGTTTATTTACCTTGTTTGGGCAATGGATAGTGTACTCCAAAAAAAGATTCGAAATAGTCCATTGTACGAGCGGCTGTAGTTACGGCATACTTTGCTTGTGGCAGCATCGCTTCTGCCGCATAAACGCTCACTGATATATTTCTTTTGGTTAACTCGGAAACTCGTTTAAAGTCACATACCACGAATGCCACTAAATATGTTGACATTTCTACAGATTCTTGGAAATCATCGCGGAGCTGCAACAGACACAAAAAAATTATATCACAAAGGGTGTTCGCCATTAGCGTAAACAAGATTTTTATTTAGGTGACCTAGATTGCCGAGTTTTAATGCTAATATGAAGTATAATAGTGCCGTTTAATTTTAACATACGTTTAACTCATAATTTTATGAAATACCAAAATTTATTAAAAATTTATGTATTATAGTGCGTTACATAAATATACCACCCCCTTTGATTTTATTAACTTGAGGTTTTAGGTAAAAATCATAACCAATATTCTATAAATGAAAATTCGTAGTGTGAATACAATATATATAAGCTCAATTTAGTGTATTAATCAATAACATAAAGAGCAACAGTAATATTAAAAGTAGTTTAATGAATCTACATAATTATGTCCTATTAGGGCTAACCTAAACAGAATATATCAGATTAGTATATTTATGAAACGCGCAAAAATCAGGTTTTGTGAAACTCAACTTAATATTTACGTTATTATGCAAATTTTCCTTTATACAATTTATTGTTTAAACATTATAAATTTGTATTTAAGGAATATTATCCATACTTTTGTACCAGAAGCTCAAATCATTGAAAATATGAGGGACTGATATATTTATGCCACGCATTATATTATAAATATAGTACATTGTGCTGCAAATTATTTATATCAGTATATTTATGCTCATATACTATTATAAATATACATTCTGTTATACATTTATTTGGTACATATTTACAGTAAAGTATACACTCAGTTATAAAATTTATATATTAAATATAAACATATACAAATAACAATTCAGCGCAAATATTCATTTCTCGTAAAATAAAGTTTTTATGAATTTCTACTTATTTAACTTTCTTAGACAAGTGAGATATTTTTCCTCCGAAAGATTTTTGAGTTATACGACCTTTAAAATTGTGTGAAACGTTCATTTAACTAATCGAAGAAAAAAAATTGAAAAATTTGTCTAAAGTTTACTATACTTCACAAAAATACAATTGCGAAAATTTTGTTGGTAAAATATTTCATTTGTGTCTTTTGTCCATCATTATCTTCTCCATCCATGTATTATTAGTGATTCTAATGTATAATTATTATACCTACCAGTCCTGTTCCCATATAAAATCCCGCATCTTCCGTATTCATTACAGGCATATTGCACAATGCGATATGAAACCTGTCCCTGAATATCGAAACTTTGAATTTTGCTTTGAATTGTGGCTCGTCGAAACATGGAAACGCTGAGCGTGCATACGTCGGTTCAAAGTGAGTCGTAGCAAGATACCTAAGTTGAAATAATAAAAATTCAGTTACGATCTTATTCGAAAACAAAGTACGCCTTGATCATTCTTGCAAACAGAAAATTATTACAGTTTCAGAGTGACCTCTTTTCTCCTTCTGGCGTAACATAGCTGCTAAGATAGAATCCCTCGAGTTCACTTGTGAGTTTCGAAATGAATCTCAAGTGTACCGTATAGTTCCCTCTTTTTCGAAATTTGCTCTCCTCCAATTCTAGATATAGCTGCTGATGTTTCGGATACTCCAGCAATTTTGCGATTTTTAACCTGTGACCTTTACGATCTTGAACCATCTGTAAAACAATAACCTATTGGAAGTTGATTATTTTCATAACATGATCCCTGGAAGCTGGAATGTTTTCTATGTTTATTGGTAAATAATGATTTTACATGTTCAAGTTCTATAGAATTAAAACTGTATTCATTTTCCGGAAAATTATTAATTACTTTAACATGCAATTGTGAAACATAATAGAAGAATTATAAAACGTACAGTACGAAAGAACTCAATTTTGATACAAAATATTATGAATGAAGTTCAGTGAAAATTACATGTATAATTATGTATAAAATTATACTAAAATTATGTATAAAATTAAAGATATAAGTATGTTTGTAATATTGTTTTATTAATACTTTATATTGATACTATTTATTTACAAATTATTTACTGCACTAACTAAGTTATTTAATTAAGTCATGTGTTTTGAATGTGTATTGAACGACGCACCAGGTGTGTCATCTCGATTAATTGAAACAAATGTGTAACTAATAAACTGTTCGTTTCTTGCATGCATAACTTTCAAAAGAACTTACTTTTTCATTTATTGTCAAATTTTTGCTATGGAAGACGATATAGTTGGTCTCTTTATCGACGTAGAATTCGATTGTGACCTGTCCTGAAAATGCAAATTATTTTTATTTTTATGCGGCTTCACTAATGTATGCAAATACATTTGAAACGCTCGGTAAGCGATGGTAGTTACTATAACCTCGTCAAGTGCAGAGTAATCTTGATTCTCTTTACTAAATATAACATGCAAAATGGAAAAAAACTATTAGTGTAGTTCGTGCAAAATAAAAAATTGTTCCTTGGATGCAATGTCATATACTAGGTGTCCATTAGGTGATTGCCAATCTGTGGATGACACGGAAAAAATAACACCGTTTTTTCATTTCTTTATGGAGAATATGGAGAGTGCCTTAATAAAAAGAATGTACACTTTATCATTATATAATTTAATAAATAAAAAGTATATCTTAGTTTGGGTAGATCTTAATTTGATATTCTATTGATTATTTTAAAGTTAGAAATTTTATAGATACACATGTCATTTAATATTTTGCTATCATTTGTTATTGTTGATATTAATATACAAACATGTACAAAATGTATAATAATATTAAATATTACATTTTCTATTTATTTGTTATTTTTGATATTAATATTTTATTGAAACACCGTATACGTTGACATTAATAGCTGGATATTCTTTTTATGAAGCATAATGAGCTGAATTGATTAATGCGTTAAAAAATATGATTCCGTATAAACAAGCGAGTTTGATCTTCACACGTGTGTATAAAAAATGTTTAATTACGTTAATGATCAACATAATTAATTATATCAGATTATCTGGAAAATTATTCAATATTGATTTAAAATATTTTTCATTATCATTAACAATTTCGCTATTTGTTATTTAAAATAGTATATCCTGTTATATGAATCATAAAAATGCTTGTAGAAAATAATTTTTAATTATACATAACGCTGAAATGTACATGGAAGCTATAAACTTATTACCAGTTAATTTATAATAATCTATTACTAATATATTAAATTATTATTAATTAATTAATTCTTAATTATTATCTTAATTATTATCTTTGAACTCTATAACCATTTAAATGAGAATCAAAATGACTCTGCATCTATTAACATCAGTTGTTCGAAAATATTCGTTTGTTGAGGAATAATATTAAACCAATACTAAGTTATTTACCTTTTACATCTAAAGTGGTAAGATTTGGATGGATGGTAATGTTGTACCTAGTAGGATGCGCAAATGTGGGTAGTCTTACGTTGTTCCAAGGAAATATCTGTAACAATTACATTTAATAATTATATGTACTGTCAATTAAATAAATATCAATCAGTGCATTGGTAATATATGTACTATCCCGTAGTCCTTTCCATTCATATGTATAGTAAAAATCATTTAGTATGTCTGTGATAACTATTGTAAGTCGATAACTCAAATTTTCTAAATAAGTTACTTACTTATTATTTTTCTGTTTATGTTATTATAAATAATTAATATTTTTGATATAATGGTAATTCAGATTTACGTTTTTATATTAAAGTACGTGAAATATTTTGCACTTGCAAGTTGACTGCGTGTCGAATTTCGTAGTTCGAAAATTGAAGGACACTTTAATTACCAAATTTCTAGTATATCAAATTTCTACATTTCTGAATCTACAAATTTTTAGATATATGATATTTCCAAATTTCCAAATGTCCAAGCTTCCAAATTTTCAAGTTTCCAAGTTTCCAAGTTTCCAAGTTTCCAAGTTTCCAAGTTTCCAAGTTTCCAAGTTTCCAAGTTTCTAAATTTCCAAGTTTTCAAATTTCTTAATTCTCAAATTTAAAAAATCCCCAATTTCCAAATTTCCGAATATCTGCGTTACTAAATTTCCAAATTTCCAAATTTCTAAATTTTCAGATTCTCAAATTTCTGTAATTTCAAATTCATTTACGCCTACATATAAAATTACAAAATCCTTGAATTCTAAAGTTCTCAAATTTCTATATCCTCAAATTTTGAAGTTCAAAATTCCTAAATTCTGAAATTTCCAGATTTTCAAGTTCAAAATACCCAAATTATTAAATTATCAAATTGTCAAATTCATATATTTATAAATCTCCAAACATCCAAATACCAAAATTCTCAAATTTTTAAATGACCAAATATGTAAATTCCAAAAGTCTCATATACGTATAGGCTGCCATATTTAAAATGACAAGTCTGAATTCACAGGAGCTATCGATCCTCTTTCTTCTTGTAATTAAACGCGCCAGTGAGGCTGATCATGTGTGAACTCAGATTACTTAGAATAAGTGCTAGTAGGTCGAATTTGACATACGTCATTTTTTCTGAAAATAATACGAAATAATATGAAAAAATCAATACTTCAGCCACTCCGCCCCATTTAATTACTGAAAAAATGAAATCGATAGCTGTCACGGTTTCGGAGAAAACGGCTCATAAGACTTTATGTAGGCCACCCTATACACACAGGGTAAACTTGACCAACATATTCTACATGCAAAAATAAAAAAGAAAATTGACATTAACATAGGATTTGAAACATTTTATTGGAAAGTTATAACCGAAGCACAAAATGACTTCGGACTGCTTTGTGTTTCGATGCCATATACAATGTGTCCTACTTTCGAATATAAAACTTTGTCAGCATGTTCTATAAATAAAAATTATAAAAAAATATTATATATACGGAGGCTCTTAACCAGTTAAATGTGTTTGACAACTATATCCGTCATGGAGATGTGGCAGAATTTTATGTCATGACGACTACATCCGTCATGCGTAAAATTTTATTACAATTTGATATTTAAATTGTAATTTTGACGAAAACTAAATTATATTCGTAAATTGTAATATGTTTAAAATGTTTAGAGGTCAACACGAAATGAAATAAACAAATAAAAAGTGTAAATGATTTGAGATGGATTCATAAATTCTTGAGAGCTAACTCGTCATCGCTTGATTATCGCGACACACACTGGTGCGCGCTTTGCAAAAAGATCGCCACAGTAAACTGGTTAACTGTTTTGTTGAAAGACTATGAGAAACGTACGCAATAATAATGAACGATTTTCTTCCTCGGTACTACGCACGGATAATTGTCAAATTTTATATTTTGTTTTAGTAACCTTTAATAAAACATTCAATACAAGATGAATAGTTTTACGTATTTTTATTTATAAAATTGGACAGTAAACTGGAGCACCTGGTACATCGAATGTTTTCGACATAGTGTATGATCGAAAAAGGGTGAATTTACATGAAAGTATTAGGCAAAAATATAGAATACAATTTTTGCATATGTCACTTCATTTTTGAAAAAGAAATCGAATTTGGACAGATTTGAAGTATTTATATAAAAAATTTGTTCACAGCACATAAAATGATAAATGCAACTTTTCATTACTTTAAGATTTAATGAATGTTAATAAACAAATAAATCTGATCATTAATACTACTATTGTTTGTTATCAGTCATACTTCATGGAATTTAGTCGATGATAAGGACACACATAAGTAAGAAACCTAATAAAGTAATAAATCTATTTTAGCGATATTAATAATTATATTTGAGGATTAATATTTATTTACTGTGAAATTGAAGAACAATTTGTTGATTTTATCATTCTTGCTCTATGAACAAGCTTTTTCACAAGCATGTAGAAAATACTAAAATTCACTTTTTGTTTTAAATAAAGTCATATACGAAAAAAATTTATTGCATAGCTTTTCCTGTTTTTCCATGTTGATTCGTCGATTTTTCGATTGTACCACCATTTCAAAAACACCCTGTATAACAAAGCAATCCGTTGTCATTTCATATATTTGTTACAACTCCTTAATAAAATGTTTAGTAACCTACGTTGATTTCATTTTTTTTTTTATTTTTATGAATAGAATATGTTAATAAAGTTTAGCAGTAAAAAACTGGGTCACTCTGTATGTATAGGATGTTCAGTGAAACAATGTGCATGACTTTTCAAGGATTTCCAATAATTCAACGAAAAAATATTTTAAGTAAAAATTAGTCAATTTTAAAATAACTATAAGTTGCGATATTTGAAGTTGTACAGAAGCTGAACTACAATATTTTGTGATCTTGACTTTTTAAATGGTAATATATTTTCATTGAATTGATCTCATGAATTGTCCTTATATTGATTTTATTGAATTGATCTCATAAATTGTTCTTATATTGATTTTATTGAATTGATCTCATGAAATGTTCTTATACTGATTTTTTTTAATTGCACCTAAAGTGGGAACTGCAAGTGATGGACACATCGAATGCTCAACAAAGAGTTCTTGGCACTAATGTCCGTGATGATCTTCAAATTATAAAAGTTTACAAGTTTAAAAGATGGACAATTTCAAACTTTGTGAATTTGTGAATTTGTGAATTTGACAATTTGAGAATTTGGGAATTTGGAAATTTGGGAATTTGGAAGTTTGGGAATTTAGGAATTTGGGAATTTGGGAATTTAGGAATTTGGAAATTTGGGAATTTAGGAATTTGGGCACTTTGGGAATTTGGGAATTTGGGAATTTGGGAATTTGGGAGTTTGGGCACTTTGGGAATTTGGGAATTTGGCAATTTGGTAAATTGTTCAATTTGGGTAATTTGGGAATTTGGAAATTTGGAAATTTGAAAATTTGCAAAATCGAAAATTTGAAATTTTAGAAGTTTAGAAAAGCAGAAATTTGGAAATGTAGCAATTTAAAAAGGTAAAAAGTTTAGGAATTTCGAATATTACAAAGTTGAAAAAATAGGAAATTGAAAATGCAGAAATGTAGAAATATTGAAATCCAAAGTTTCCAAATTTAAGAAATTATCTACTCATCAATGTGAGTGCATATCATTTGCCCATTCGTGCACCGCACCCTCGTGGGTGCAGTTACCGATCACTAGCACATACTATGCCCTATACGTTTCTTTCTGAAAATAGTTTCCTATACAGCACTAGTACATACGTTACAATCCTCAAGTCCTTGAATGAAATAACTAGAGTTCAACAGATTGCTAATTCTACTTTCAGTTATACAATTGTTATTTAAGTCTGCATTTTGTACGATTTTTTCATGATTATATGTATATTACTATTTCAGATATAATTATGCAAAACAATAAAGATAAAATTGGTCTTTGAAAAATTTTTTTGAAAAGAATCAGGAATGTTAATTAACAAATTCGTTTTTCTTCCTTACAATTTGTTTTATATTGTAAAACTTTGTACAATTTTTGTAGTTCTTTCAAAAATACATATTGTTCCTTTTCTATTTTATTTTACTTTCCCATTTCCATTCATTTTTAATTGATTTTCCTTTGTTTTTAGAGTTAATAATACAAATTATGCCTTATTAAAAATAATGTATAACACTTCAATTTGAGCATCAAATTTGGCTGTTTAAATATTTCGAGTACACTAGCGACCAAAAATTTAGATGTACACGAAAAATAGATATATATCTATGTCTAAGATACAAAGAAATATATAACTTTATAATAGAACGATCATACGAAAAGTGTGAGAGAATTAAAGATACGATAAAATACTAGGCCCTAAATACTGAATTCAATACGTTTAGTTAGACATACCAATTTTTGTAAGTAATTATAGCAAGTCTAATTTTATTTAATAACACTGCTATTCTATTTAAATATTTCATTATTATATTTAGTAATATTATAATTCTAAGTACTACAAAACTTATAAGTAATTTAACTAAATATATATTTCAAACCTTATTCAGTTCATAAAACTAACAAGTATCAGAAGATATATACATATATTAAATTTATTAGGAATAAAATTGTCAATTGAATAAATTGTTTATCACTCATATTTTGTAAAACTAATTAACTACTTTGGATTTGAAAACTTGGGAATTTAGGTATTAAAGAGTTTTTGGAGTTTGAGATTTAAATATTTAAAAATTTGGGAATTTGATTATTGAGAAGTTTGGGAACTTGGGGATTTGGAGATTTGGAAATTTAGAAATTTAGGAATTCGAAGATTTGGAAGTTTGAGGTTTTCAGAATTTAGTAATTAGAGAATTTCAGAATTTGGCGTTTAAGAATTGATGAGTTTAACAATGTGGAAAGTTAGGAATTTGCAAATTTTGTTGGTAATGTAGTATTTCCAGTGGTGAAATAACGTTGCAAAAGTTGGCAATCCAGGCCGATCTTATTTTGATTTTCTACGGGACGACGCACCGCCAATTTCCGAGCTCGTCCATTCCATTACGACTCGTGCATGCGATCAGTATGTAGTCAATATATATTATGCGTTAATGAGAGTACAAGTGTGTCTAGAATTATTTGTCTATCCTACCAATAAATTTAAGATGTTAAAACATCGAAAATTTATAAATCGTGATATTAGAAAATTCTAATAAAGTTGTAGCCAAAGTTCTAAGTGTCAAAGTACATTTAGAATCTATTTTTAAAACATTCATAGAGATCTATAGTCATCCTACATCCGTCTGTATGCAAATTTGCAGAGCTTCAAGACCTAAGGGATAAAGTATAAACGGTTAACAGTCAAGTCTTGTCTATGGATTATAGTGACGCCTTGGGATTGATTTCCCGCCAAGACGTTTTGTGTCTACATTTATCTTCAAAGGAAGACTTTCAGGCGCAAACTTGAAATAAAATGTGACAGATACGCATCTATAGGGTGTCCCAACCACCCCTTCACTCTGAATTATTTTTATTACCCTTAATATACCCGTCAAAACACAACCAATTGCTCTAGGAGAAAGTTATACTTTATTGATACCGAAAAATTAGGTTAGGGACGTGAAGGCCAGTGCAAGGTTACATCTTCCAAGATTTTACAATAATCCTTGCTCCTTTGAATGACATTTCATATTTAGTCTTTAGATAGATGGATCTTTTGTAGCGATACAAAAGACAATAAAAATTATATAACGAAAACAGCACTATATTAACGAAATTGATAGTTTATGATACTTCCCATTTTTGCATAAAACAGTCTTAAATTTAGAATAGACGAATTATTTTCTTCTATAGTACACCGTTACTTTTTTCTACACAAAATGTCCCAAAAACTGACTCGTGTTAAAACATATGCAATTTCATTAAAAGAGACAAAAGAGTCTCTACAAAGTTTTTGAAAATCTTAAGATATCCTGTGTGTTCACCTCCTTTTTATTAAAATACTGACTTTTCTCTCAAACATTTTTTGTATTTTTACCAATAACAAATTGATGTCATTCCTGACCTGAACAATTGCCTTTGATTATTAACAATTCTGATTACAAATATAACAATTTCGATTATATTCGCAAATTATAACTTGAGTTTAATGTTTAAATAAGTAAAGTTACTAATTACATAAGTAATCTTAATTTTATTTTCAAATTCTTATTAATTTGAACCCAGCAAGTTTTCGTCTTATGTATATTCATACACAAAACACTTTCAGACGTGAAATATTGTTCAATTTTCAAGAAGTTGGTACACTTTCGAAATATGCTATAGGTACTTGGTTATTGTTTGATGTCACAGATTATATTTCGAGGATATAAGCCGGCGTGCATTATTCATTGCGCTATTTGAGATTTTCTACGAGTATACACGTTCTCAATTACTCGCGTATTATGTCTGGAATATAAGTCATGGAATACATGTTTTGCTCTACTTCGACATTACGATCATATAGACAGTAAGGCAAACATAAGCGACCATACCTCTCCGTTAGTTGCTAGAGGTTCGCTGCTTTTTTCATCGTCCTCGATTTCCAGGTTCGCTGGCTTCTCTCCAGCACAAGGGCAGTCTACAAAAATTAGACAGGAAATGTTATAACCAGATGAAATGAAAAACGAATAACAAACAATCGAATAGTATTAGATTGTTGCATGTTTGATGACCGATTAGGCTGATAACACAAAAGTGTCGCAATTTATCCTATATTGTTTCAAATATGCTTTGATATTGCTGCATGAATTTTTCATTGTATAGTATGAACTTTTTATGTTTCTCATACGAAATCATTGATTATTACTTATAGTAAATAGAGGTTCGAAGTGCAATTCATACACTATATTTAATTTGTTTAAAATTCGCACAATTAATTCAAACTTTAATTTAGACATTTCTTTATAAATGTAACACGAAAATGTAGTATTTAGAAATCAGCTATTTTGTCAATCGACGATGTTTGTAATAGATATAAATTTTATTTAATTCTATTATTTTCTAATGATAGAAAATACTATTGTATTTTAATCTTATTTATTGTGTAAACACTGCCAAATTATTCTTCTTTATGATATAATTAGGATCAAATGTAATAAACAAAAGAAAGTTAATAAAATCTTGAGAAAAAATATAGCTAACACTAAATACGACGTTAATGTAAAAATTTTGAATAGAAGAAGTTTTAAAATGAACCCCAAACTTAAATAAATATTTGCAATAAAAGTTTAAATTTTAAGTAATTCTGAAAGGTTCTAATTTTAAGCAGTACATTAATAAGATTTTCTAGTGTTATTAATGCAATTATTGTTAAAAATTTTATAACTAAATCGGTCATTTTGCTTGCAACAATCTAACAGGAAAATAAAAGACACTGTGAAAAATAGAGGAATTCTAGTGCTCATCAAAGACGGGAAATTATTTCACAGGGTTTCATACGTTCTAAAGAACCGAAAATATTGTGGTGCTTTTTGTTGAAAATAATGACAGTTATAAAAAGTATGGTAAAATGCGACAGTATAATTACGGTTATAACTTTTACGCATACTAAAGGGTGTGCTACCGCCATTGTAGAGTAGCAAATTTTATGGCTAACATAATAGCAACAGCAGTACCATAAGAATAATATTATTGTAAATTTTTGGTCTCACTACGTTCATGTAACGGCATGTTCACGAATAATTATTTAAGAAATCATACAAACGGTTGCAACATCTTGGTTTACAATAACAATTGAAAATAGTGACAATTATAAAATATCGTAAATATGATAGAAAAGACGTAATTACAAAATTGTTGCTTTGATATTCAGATGCAGTTTTTGTAATTAAAAATGTAGCCACGTATGATTACAAAGAAAATGGAGGCGTTTCAACTTTATATAAAAAATAATAACACATTAAAATTTATTGAAGAAAAAATAATAATAAAAAATTATTTAAAAGAAATAATAACAAAAAATAACAGATATTAATAGTGATTTGTTTATAATAGATTGTTTATAATGTATAATACAAGGTTGAGTTTGATCTCAGTTTTAAGTTTTTGTTCTCATATTCTAATTTTTCTACTTTTTTTCAGATATCATTTTTATGAAAGATGAGAGTCTTTTGATTAGAAATTTTAGTGCCTAATTTTAAGTTACGTACCGTTGTATGCTTTTCGTAAAAGTGGGTCACGCCTGACTCAGCTATCATGGTTCGAGAGTTAAAAACCAATAGTTGTTTACTTTATAAGCAATGCAATTTATAATAAAGTATTATAAATATAATTGACTAATCGTCATTACAACTTCATTTGTGCTTACGTAAAGTAATATTATTAAGTAAGGAATGATTCTACGTGCAAAAACGAAATCGAAAATCATGGATCGAAAGAAAATTCATAATTTGCGGCTTTATTAATAAAAATTGAGTTTTAAAATTGACGAATATTATTATTCTTAACGCTGAAATGTACATTTCATAATAATTATTTAGAATATATGTATTGAATATAAACAAATTTTTTATTTTGATTCAAACTTAATAATCATTAAGTATCCTTTGTTTTCATTAAATGTTAATATACAGTACTATTGCATATCATTTTTTAAATGTCTTTTAGAATATGATATAAAGAAAGTTACACTGAAAATTTATTATCATATTTGTAATTACGAATACTTGTGGAAAAAATGATTGTTTAAACTTTTTATATCTTAGATCGCATAGAAATATGCTGTGAAAAATTTTTCGTTCTCCACATGTACTGATATTTGCATATTTTTAACATTGTTTCTTTAAAAATACATGTTTCAATACCAGTACACCATTCAATTTATATTAATCCATAATGGAAATCCAATCTTTAATGATTTGTTGATGAAACATTATATTTATGGGACACTTATTAATTTTGTCTAAATTCACATTACTATATGAACATTGTAATAAGATTGTATTCGTGTTCAAAGTTATAAAATTGTGCATATCAGGCACTGAAACAATATTTTCAAATTTTATAATACTTAGGGCGGAAAATTGTCCTTATTTTTTTTTTTTTCAGTTATATTCCGGGGTATAGTACGAAGTATGTACAGTTCAAGAACATAACTATGTGCAATAAATATGTACAGTTCAAGTATATAAGTTTTCTCTTGTACATACAAGTAATCCACTAATTTAATATCAAATTAAATCAATAATATTTTGATTATGGCGTGATAGTGTAAACGTAATGGATTTACCAATATCTATAAGTTTATCTGATAATATTTATTTTTCAGTAATAAAATGTTAGTGACAAAAGTAATTAGTGTAACGCATAACAAAAGAAACCTGGTTTGTCCTTATTTTTCACTTAAAAATAATGAAACAATATTATTAGTTCATAAAGTGTCACTCAGAATTAGTGATAGCTTGCATTCTGTCAGATATACATTTCAAAAATTCCATATTTTCATAAATGTAATACATTGTCACTTTTTGGGAAGCATTTGAAGCTATTACAGGTTCAGAATTCCTCTATTTTTCATTCTCATATTTTCATACTTTCATTCCTATATTTGCATTCTTTACGTTCTTTCAGATACAGTTTTTATAATAAGCAATTATATGACGAATTTCACACACACGAAATAAAACAAAATATTCTAAATTGATTTGCTCTGTACGACATATACGAGTAAAATAATACAACCAATAAAGATTTGAATGATGTATAAGTTTTAAGGTTTGTTTAATCCTTCGCACTCGAAAGTCACACCATTCGGTTCAATACAATTTGAAGTAAGCACTTTTTAACCAAATCTGTAGTGCTATACATGTATTGTATACATATGTATACACAGCAAAGCAGACAATAATAGTAATTAATGACACAGAAATAATGCAAAAGACTTCACAAAATATTTTATTTAAAGATTTCAAAATTACCATTTACCAACTGCAGAATTATCTTCGAGTGTGAAGAATTCACTTAAAAAGTGAATTAAACTTTTAATTTCAACTTCACTTAAAAAGTGAAGTCAAGTTTATTTTAATTTTAGGTTTATTGAAATTATTCAACTCACCATTCTGTGGTCCCGCGAAGGCAATGATGAGTGATATGGCGAAAAGGATCGCAAAAATGACGGTGGCTACGCAGAGAGCCCTTTTTTGAGAACACACAATTCCATTGTGCTCGTAAACACTACGTTTGTGCAATCCAGTGTTGCTGTCTCCTGGAACAAAGGATCGTCTAAAGAATGATTTCACAATACGTGTGCATTGATGAATAAAGTTATACAATATCCATCCAATATTCGTTAACGTATATATAGGGCGAGTCAATCAGAACTAACATATAACATGTATTACTTATTGATTATATATCAGAACGCTTCAAATGAAATATCATCCTAAACTATAGGAATAGATATACTTTTTTATCGTAAAGTTTAATAAACAATTTAATTTCGTATCTCATTTTTCTTTGAAATATCAATGTCACTATAAGTTTTTCAAGGTTCATGTTTGTTTAAAGTTATAATTGATGACAAAGCAAAAGTAATCTGTAATTAGTTAATTTTTAGAGGAGTTTGAACCTCACACTGAGTCACAATACTTAGTTTCGTCATGTTTGAGAAAAATGAAGTACAAAGAAATTAAATTGCATTTCGCTGATAAGTCCTTTAACCAGTTAAGTGTGGCGATCTTTTTGAAAAGCGCGCACCAGTGTGTGTCGCGATAATCAAGCGATGACGAGTTAGCTCTCAAGAATTTATGAATCCATCTCAAATCATTTACAATTTTTATTTGTTTATTTTATTTCGTGTTGACCTCTATTTTAAACATATTACAATTTACGAATATAATTTAGTTTTCGCCAAAATTACAATTTAAACATCAAATTGTAACAAAACTTCACGCATGACGGATATAGTCGTCAAACACACTTAACTGGTTAAAATGCTACATATTTAATTTCAAACATTTTTTGTTGTACGATGGTTTCAGAGAAACGGAACGTTTTTATATTCTTGTTGTTTGTAGAAATATGATAATAATTTGCTTATAAAAACTATATGACATCGATCGGAGCCATAAAATAATGACATTGTTCTTTCATAGGTGTTATACGGATCGATTCGTTTAATCATTTTGCGCAATAAAGAATTACAGTTATAATATTTGAGGAATTTGAAAATAAATTGTATTAGATATCTTAGGATGAATTGTATGAGATACTTTAAATAGAATATATATATAATGTTTTAAGATAAATTGAAGATATTGTAGTTTCGAAATCTGCACATTTGATACAAAAATTTGAAATATCTCAGAAATTGTTAATTTACTGATATTGGGCCACTTTTATATATAGGTACTTTTTTATATGTATAGCATATTTAGGAAAAAAGATACGTGCAGAAACGAATACATATACAGTTTTATGTATTAACAGAAATCTATAGTGTTGAAAATTCATGGAGATATTAAATTTTTATCTTCTGAATTTTAGAACGTTAGTAATTTCATAAACGAACTTCTGGGTTTGTAAATTTTAGCATTGAAAATATTAAGGATTTAAAAGTTTGAAAATTTTCGAATTTAGAAAAGAATTTTGGAGATTTGGAAAGTTGGCAATTTGAGAGATTGAAGATTTGAAAATTTAAGGATTTGTGTATTTGGAGATTTAGGGATTTAAGAATTTAAGGATTTCGCAATTTAGGGATTTAGATGTTAAGCGATTTTGCGACTTGGGAATTAAATGGTTTAGGGATTTGAAGATTTGGGGAATTCTGGATTTGAAAACCTTGAAATTTAGGTATTAAAGTATTTGTGGAGTTTGAAATTTAAAAATTTGAAGATTTGAAGAATTTGGGGAATCGGAGATTTGGGAATTTGGGAATTTGGGGACTTGGCGATTTGAGGATTTAGAAATTTAGAAATTTAGACATTTGAGAATTGGTAGTTAGAGGATTTCAAAATTTAGTAACTAGAAAATTTTAGAATTTGGTATTTAAGAATTTATGAGTTTAAAAATTTGAAAAGTTAGGAATTCGCAAATATGAGAAGTTGGAACATCGAAAATTTAGAAATCGTGATATTAGAAAATTCAAAGATTTAAAAATTTTGCAAATTGAGGATTCAAGGATGGGAAAATTTAGAAATGTATATTAGCTATAATGTTTTAATATTTTAATACTTTTAAATATTTTAACAAAAATCATAAAAATATACGAATTTCAGTATTTATTGAGAAAGAAAAATATTTTCTTAGCATAATTTAGCATTTTCTAAGGAATAAAACGTGTAACGGTCGTTCTTTCCGAAAATAATAACGAAATCATACAAAAATTTTATTATAATTATATCTCACTTAACTGCAAATTTTTAATATCATTTCTATTAAATAATCTTAGTGCTTACATAAACATTTAGAGAATCATACGAAAATTGATTGTTAAACAAGTACGTAAAATAAGGATGTATTTAAATAAGGACATAAAAATATGATTCCGAAAATTATAAAATATTTAGAAAGTAAACATTTAAGAAATTTTTAGAAAATCATACAAAAAATGACAGGAATAATGTGTTCAAATGCGAACACAAAAATATAAAAAATATATAAAATATAGCTGATTTAAATCGACGAGTTATTATTGAAATTAAATTGCTAGAAATTCTTGTATAATGCAATGTTCATTTTCTAAACAATTAGAGATTAAAGGACGAAGGCCTTTTTTACCCCAATATAGTAACACAGAGATTGAACTTGTTTTCATTCCTATTTTCTAAATTTTATGTAATTAATACCATATTATATTTTGTTTAGTAGTTGTGCAATCAATTCACGACGCAACTCAGTTAAAAACTTATAAATCAATTATTATGTATATAAGCAACAAAAATTATATATTCCAAAATAATTGTCGATATAATAGAATTACAAGTTCATTGTTTACGTATGTAAGTAATTTTAAAATTTAGGCAAATAATGAAACTGTTATCTGATATGCATTTTTTAATATTTATCACAATTATATATGTTAATTATGAAATACAATGAAAAGGACCGAAACTCTGTGTTTTATGCTTAAGCAGGAAGGCAAAATGTAATTATTATAATTGTCAAAAAATGCAAATTTTGGAATAATTTTTCTGTCTAAATGAATTCTGAAATTACTTTCAACTATCATACACAATATCCCACATAATATATTAATTGTAATTTTACGTGCAAAAGTAGATAAAAATTGTAAAATGAAACTTTTTATGTACACTTTTTCGCTTTGGAGAAAAATGGGTCCGAGAATCTCGTAATATTTACGAAAAAATTTGTTTCCAGCAAAGTAGATCATTTTTACGACTTTTTCGTTAATTCAACAACGAATAAATGTAATTTATTATATTACTATTACAATGTATTATTATATATCTCTAGGATATTCATATAATTTCTATCTGACTTTTTTTTACGTTTTCCTTTACTCATAAAATTGAATCTTTTCACTAAATTATATAATATCAATTTCCTACATAAAATTAATTAATATTAATTCGTTGCACAGAATTAATATTTTAAGAATCTTGCGAAAGGTATTTAATGATTCATTTCAGCGGTAAACATAATTATATTTATTAATTTACAACATTCTTCAATTAAGTTGTTTGTAATGAGTGTAAAGTAATTACATTTTTCGAAAAAGTAGAATTTGCTATATTTTTTGAACTGTTAGATGAAACAAATTAACAAATACGATAAAAATACCATTTTTATTATAAATGTCACAATTCTGAAAGTTGGGTACAAATAATTTTTCTTATAAGAATTGTTACAATTTCTATTCTTTCAAAAACGTAACTAAAGATAATATAATTTTCTATGATATTTTTGGACCATTTTTTCATATGTAATCATCCCTTAATTAATAGAACATTATGCGAAATACAGATCTCACTAAAATAAATTCATAATTGGTTTCATAATGATAATTATTTTGCAACATTTATGAAACATTATTGTAACTTTCATCGCACGTAAAATAAAGTAAAATAAAAGGTTATTGGTTTTTTAACCTTCGAACGACGGTGGCCGGGTTAATCGTGACCTAGTTCTACGAAAAGTCTTCATATTTCAAAGTAAATAGTGCAAATCTTAGGAAATAAGGACGAATAAACAAATTTAAATCATATTTCAACAAAGACTTGGTATAATTATTTAAACTTTAATTGCTTAAAATAGAACATAAATTTTGCGTTAGCAAAAAATTACTTGTTTTGATGATTTGACATACAATTTGTCTGCTGTTTTCTATTCTCCATAATTTTTTATTGTTATTAAACTCGAATGTATCATCTTTTAATTCTTTCCCATTATGATTCTATAACTATGTATTTTTAAATTTGAAATAAAATATCAGTATCATGTATTTTTCCATATCAGCGAACATGTGTATAACTTTTAATTTGCAATGAGTGAAATAAATATAATTTTTATTGCATATGTGTAAAAACTTATTTAAAAATAGGATATTATTGTTTCTGTTTCCATTTCGTGCAGCAACAAGAAAAATAGTTTTATATGGAAGGAGTGTGAGAATGATCCTTTGTGAATACAAAATATAATATCGATTTTATAAATATATTGGCGGGTATTATACGTTAAAACAAAAATGGGTCAAATACATTAAATACAGATGTATTGTTTGTTAATAATAATGTACAAGTCATTATACGCTTTCAAAGTGTTACAAATATTTTTATAAATTATTTACATATTATATATCAAGTATGAAAGTAGAAAACAATTTCTGTTACAACACTAAACAGTAACGAACGTTAACAGATAAGTAACAAGAGAATTAAAAGGTTATTTTACCAACACACTATCATTCGAAAAGAAGGAATAAGAAATTTAGAAGTTCAAATCTCTACAAAAATTCATGAATTTAATCTCTCTTTTTATCATTTCCAAGAAATTGAATATCACATTTCTGATTCGTTAGAAGGCCATGAAATATAATCACGTCACAAAACAATTTGTTGTTCTCCGATAAGTATCTGAAATACGCCTATTTTTAACATTGCCCCTGCATCAATCTCACGAAATATACAGCCGATAATAAAATTTTCAGACACGAAAGTCTTGTGTGTCTAACGGCATGAGAAACACGTCCAGTTTCGTGTCCTCGGGTACACACTTGACCCAGATTTTTCACTGTTGAGCGAC